TGCACTGATTTCCGCTGTGTAATCGACAATCGCATTGCTTGTGATTCCACATGCAAATTGGCAATGAGCGGCGGCGCAATATCTATTTGGTTGTTAAGTGTGGTTCGGTAAGGTTTGCGACCAGATATCTGGGTCAGGCTAGCTGTTGCGAATAGTCGCCAATGGGCCGAACACACCGGCACTGATATCAGTGAAATGTGTCGGGATCATCAATTGTCACTCATCACTGAACACTCGGTAAACAACTCCTTTTCGAATATTCGCCAAGAAGAACCGTACACATGGGAACTACTGCGCATTAACGGGTGTAATATGATTACAAGGGTTAGAAGAACGGGAGGGAATGGGGAATGGAAGGTGAAAATGACACGGTATTACTTTAATGCACTTTTAAAGGAAGGAGTGGAATGTGGGGCAGCGAAAACAGATGGCGGACGACTGTGCCCCAAACTGCGAGTAGTCATTTTGATATCTCAGTAGCAAGGCAGTCATTTAAGAATGCCACCAAAAAAAGATATAAGGGAACAAACAAGTGGAAGAGAAGTGATAAACTATTGGAAATAACATGTTATCATGTGAAAGCGAAATTTCGTCTTCACAGGTAATTTAGGACTGGTGGTATCTTCACATGAGTTTATTCATCATCCATTGCAAGAACGTTAAAGGGATGAATTTGAACATTTTGTTAGAAAATACGGTTGAAAAAGGACGACTGAAGACAAACAAGTCTTAGGAGAAAACTGGAAGTGTATTGGAAGTATCTAAAAAGAAGTATAATCTCCGAGAAAAGGGAAGAGAAAGAGAATATGCAACCAATTAAAGTGAAGTAATGCTTTTAGTCTGTCGCGTTTGTCATTTAGCCTCAAACTTATAGGTTCCATCTTTTTGATACATCACCATCATGCAATGTGCTATCATTAAATCAAAATTATAATATGGTTCTTAGATCTTCCGCATGGTTGAGTCGTCGCTTGAGGAATTAAACCTGTTGAACAACAGTCTTTCAAATGTTCCTCTTTTTGGAAATATGTCGAAAATGACGTCTCTGAACTTGTATGGAAATAAGGCGAGTTTTGTTTCCAAAATGAGGATTGATCATTAAATGAACATGATTTTTTCAGCTGAAAGATATTCCTGAACATTCTTTTGACGGACTGCCGCAGTTGCGCTTTTTGCGAGCTGAGCAGAACCACATCTGCTCCTTTTCACCGTTAGTTTGCAACCATTTTCAAAAGTTGCAAGTATGTTAATGTTACATTTCAGGAATGCTCTGGCGGAGGTTAAAGGGAACCTTGAGCTGCTGGATCTGAGCGGAAACTGCTTTTCTGCTATCCCAGCACAAAATCTTCGAAACAGTGTGAAATTAATGTATCTTGACCTCTCAGATAACAAGATCGGTGAGGTAAGGTTCTTACTGACATAAATGTATTTCCGAATATTATTCTGACAATTACTAACCATTATTTAATTTATAATTTCAATAGAGCTTTAGTAATTCGCCATTTCTTTTTCCGCTCGTCATAAACATTACTTTATTGA